CCATGTGGAAACAAAGAACGAGAATGGAATGACTATGAACGAAGTGAGTACAAATAGGAAACCCTAATTGGGTTGTACCCCCTATGGGATACCCCACTATAGCCTACAGAAACAAGTAAGCTATAAGTTCTGACAAGTTAATACTGCAACCGCACGGAGATTACAGTTAATACTTAACCGATGTTTACCTGAGATAGATGCACGCTTAGTCGACGGCACGCCATTGGCCATACGAGAAAAAGTGGAGCGAGTAAAAGTCCGCTGCGGGGGAAACTTCTAATTTACACAGGAAATGCTCGCAACGACGCTGGATGGGCACGACATTTTACTGGGACGTGATTGGCTGCGACGGTACAACCCACGGATCGACTGGACGACGGGGAGCTGCACAGTGCGAAGTAGCGGTAACTGGGTCGTCCTACCTCGCTGGCGGCCACCCGAATCTTCGACAGTCCAGGTCAACGCCATCACGATGAAACGGGCTGTCGCTGCTGGAGCCGACGTGTACGCAGTGGATATTGCAGTGGTAGAAAAAGACGAGCAGCAGAATGATTTAAAGAAACTGCTAGCAGCCGTACCGACCGAATTACAGACACTACTGAAACGGTTCCCGGGGATATTTCCGGATGATTTACCACAGGGACTGCCACCTCAGCGAGCGCACGACCACAGGATCGAGCTAGTACCGGGGGCACAGCCAACAGTACAGCGGCAATTTCGACTGACACAGCCCGAGCTCGACGAGTTAAGGAAGCAGTTAGATTACCTGTTAGAGAAGCAGTTTATTCGCCCAAGCTCGTCACCGTTCGCCGCACCCATACTGTTCACACCGAAAAAAGACGGAGGTTTTCGCATGTGCATCGACTATCGAGCGCTTAACCGAGTAACAGTCAAATCGCGATACCCCATCCCCCGCGCCGACGAACTGATTGACCAACTGCGAACAGCACGTGTCTTTTCGAAAATAGATTTACGGGGAGGTTACCATCAGATTCGGGTCGAACCATCGGACTGCGCAAAAACAGCATTTAGGACTAGGTACGGGTCATTCGAGTATACAGTAATGCCTTTCGGGCTGACCAACGCGCCCGCCACATTTCAAATGACCATGAACGAGGCGTTTAGACCACTTTTAGATAAATGCGTGATCGTTTACCTCGACGATATCCTCGTTTACAGTCGGGATAAGCAGCAACACTTAGCAGATCTTGAAGCAGTTTTTAAGGTTTTAGAGGAACATCGGCTGCTCACCAAGGGCTCCAAGTGCGAGTTTTTTAGGGATAGGCTAGAGTTTTTAGGTCACGTCATTTCCGAGGCTGGGGTTGAGATCGACCCAAAGAAGCTGGATACGGTAAAAGCGTGGCGCCCCCCGACAAACATCACGGAACTGCAGAGTTTTTTAGGGTTTGTTAATTACGTTCGACGGTTCGTGCCCGACATGGCACGTTTAACAGCCCCACTAACTGATTTACTGCGTAAGGGGGTCGCTTTTACGTGGGGGGAGAAAGAGCATGCTGCCTTCTCTGCCCTAAAACACGTCCTCTGTTCACCACCCGTTCTACGTATCGCTGATCCCCACCGCCCTTTCGAAGTGGTTACCGACGCAAGTGACATCGCCATCGGAGCTGTACTGTTACAGGACTTCGGCAACGGCCTCCAACCCATCGCCTACGAATCACGCAAACTACATCCGCCTGAGCGAAATTACCCGATACACGACCGCGAAATGCTCGCGATCGTGCATGCATTCAAAGTTTGGCGCTGCTACTTAACTGGCGCGGACGTGGCCGTACGGACAGACCACCGATCTCTACAGTACCTCCGCGCACAGCCCCACCTCAACCCACGACAGATTCGATGGCTCGATTTCCTCGAGTCGAATTTTCACTATACGGTCACATACAAAAAAGGAGCATCGAATATCGCCGACGCACTGACCCGCCCCACTGCCCAGATCCACGTGATACTACTCGCCCAGACCAGCCCACTGCTTACCGGCCTATTTACCCACGGATATCAAACAGACCCGTTCTTTACAGGAGGCAACTCACAGCAATTCGCAGCGGCAAAAGGAGTCTATTACGTAAAAACTGGAACCGACCGCATCTGGGTACCGGGATACACGCTACTGCGGGAACTACTGTTACAGGAAGCACACGACAGAGTTACCTCGGGACATTTCGGGGTAGAAAAAACACGGCAGCAGCTGCAGCGGTACTAAAACTGGCCAGAAATGTTGACCGATGTGCAACAACACGTGGCATCGTGTCCCACTTGCCAGCTCATGAAGTCAAGCAGGAAGCGACCAGCGGGGCAATTACAACCCATCCCGCCTCCAGAGCGTGCTTGGCAGCAGGTGACGATGGACTTCGTCACGGGGTTACCAGCTGGGGCGAGTGGAAATGACGCGATCCTGGTCGTCGTCGATCGACTAACGAAAATGGCTCATTTCGCAGCATGCAGGAAATCCATCACAGCCGAAGAAACCGCCCGACTATTCATCTCCACCGTCGTACGACTGCACGGGATACCCGCGTCGATCATCAGCGACAGGGACACGAAATTTACCAGCAACTTCTGGCGGAACCTGTGGCAGCAGTTCGGCACGCGCTTACAGTTCAGTTCATCCTATCACCCCGAAACCGACGGACAGACGGAACGGACAAATCAGACCATGGAGCAGCTGATTCGAGCCACGTGCGACGACCCGAATACGTGGGAACAGCAGCTGCCACTTATCGAGTTCGCATACAATAACGCACCATCAGCCACGACGCAACAGTCGCCGTTTTATTTGAATTACGGACAGGACCCAACAGTACCCATGACACCGAATCCCGACAACCCAGTCCCACGAGCACAACAGTTCGCCGAGATTCTGCAAGCAGCACGGACCAGGGCAGCAGAAGCAATAAAAAAAATCAAACATCATCGCTAAACGTAACGCCGATCGACATCGCAGACCCGTTACTTATCAGCCCGACGACCTCGTATTACTCGACACTCAGAATCTTCGCCTGCCCATCACTCCAAAACTTCGCCCCCGGTATTGTGGGCCATTCCGCATCAGCCACATGATCACACCCGTCACTGCCCACCTCCTCCTCCCTGCTGACTGGTACGTCAGCCCGTCATTCCACGTCAGCCTACTTCGCCCTTACATCCCATCCACGAGCCAACTGCCACGAAATCGACCAGCCAGCATGACACGTCCCCCAACCGAACCACTCATCACCCCTGAAAAAATCCTCAGCCACCGAGTCCGCGACCCTCGGGGAGCCCGAAGGATAGAGTTCCTAATTCGCTGGAAGGACCGAACGCCCACAGAAGACAACTGGGTCCCCCTGGATAAAATTGAGAACCACCCTGTCTTCCCCGAGTATCTGCGAAGCCGAAATTTCCGCGACGTCCATGCGCTCTCGTAAGAGGGGCCTCCTTGGGGAGGGGGGTAGTGTAAGGAAATTCCCTTGTCCTTACTTCGCGTCCCTGCTCAACGCGTACGTCACTGTAGCACCTCAGTCAGCACCGTTACCACTCACGACCATCGTATCATTCATTATCCCGCCCTCTTCGCACATCGCATCCCAACCTCACGGCTCGGCTGGTAACCCGCGCTCCGGGCCTACGCTTCGACACTTTCCCAACCTCAGCCCCAGGCTCGTCGCACGACAACCACAGTCCATTACCGTTACCACTATTGTTTCGCTATATAATCCTTCGCTCATGCCTTCGCTCATTGTACTCTTTGCTTCGATAGTGCAATTCTCGTTCGTTCACTCAATTGCACTCGTAACACTCTCCAACATTGATCGCTGTTCTTCGCCCGATTATCCACTTCCACTTAGGCAAAACTATCCCTTCTAATGTAAAGGGGTGCTACAAACCCTTGAAGTGTAGTTGTCTCCAACACCATAGGGATCGACGAGGAGCTGCTTGATCAACCTCCCCACACCATCACCAAGAATCCGAGATCCCTCGAAAGCCTCCACAGGTCACGGGTGTGCGCTGTTCACTCCATTCTTGACCTTCTGAATTCGCTTGCCATTTTCTCCAGCCGCAGTTGACGCTGCTTCCTGTCTCCGACTCAACATTGTTCCGATTAATCTCGCGAAATCCATCAGGCTCTGCTATTTAAAACATCGGAGGTACGCCTGCTCTTCTGGTTCAGGAGGAATGGATAAATGTCAGGAAACTAGCAATGTGGAGATAGCATCTGATTGCATTGCATTTTCAGAAGCGAATGATACTGCGTATGCCAAATCTTAGGAGCAGCAACGGTGTGGATCTGTTACCAGAATCAATCGACTCTTCTCACACTGAACGGCCTTATGAGGATACTATTATCTCGTGTTCCGTCTCCTGCTTGATTTATTTCCCTCAAGAAGCAGGTTCTTTGACCAGTAACCTAGAAAACGCGTGTTTTGGTCCAATTTTAGTATTCTGTTCGGTGAATTCTAGGAATTTGTTTTGAACTACCGATCTTGCTGAGAATGACACATCCTTGTCCCGGGAACGCCGGACATTCACGGTCGATGGGTATTCATGTGAATGCTAGATGCTGGACGTACGAATCTTGAGGCGTCTCAGAAGGAAATGCTGGATACCAGAGATACGCTTTTGCAGGCGTACTTTATTTTCCATCCAGGACGTTGGATATTGAGAGTGATTCACGTAGTTTGTAACAGCTACGTCCGCGCAATGTCGGAATGCGTACCCGCCATTCTTCGCGCCCTAGAGTGACAGAGTCAATACAGGTAGTAATTTCAACATTTTCGCTGGCACTGGTCGCCAAACCGGGATCTTCCTCAGGTGTCACTTCCATTATGCGTTTTTCTTCCGTTTCGCGCCTTCATACCCCGCTTCTGTATACACGTCAATAGTCAGAACGAGACGGCCTTGAGCCAGCATTCTTGGGCCGAGTAAGCCACGGCCTTGACTGCGTGGAGGGGAACTACTTACGAGTATGAATGAATCCTCTTTTTTCTGATCATTCTTCCCTTATGCAACCAAGAAGGAGGTATGAAGCTGTGCACACTCAAGGCGAACGACCAGTAAGTCCAAACCACGTTCCAAGTCCTCCGTCCCTTTATTCTCCTCCCTTCCCCCTCCCCATTCCACGTGCAGCCATGTTGGCAGTCAAGAAGGAGGGGCTGAAGCTCAGCACGCTCAAGGCGGAGGACCAGGAGGCTTTAGCCACATCCCAAGACCTAGTCCCTTCCTTTCTCATCCCCCTTTCCTCCCTCCCTGCAGCCATGTTGGCAGTCAAGAAGGAGGGGTTGAAGCTCAGCACGCTCAAGGCGGAGGACCAGGAGGCCCCGGCCATCTCCGAGAGCTTCGAAGTAGACGCAGACTCAACAGCGCCGCATGCAGCCATCCCTGCATCCACGCTCGTGCCCTTCCCGCTGTTGCTGAGCGCGGAGGCCTACACCCCCTGGACCATCCCCTTCCGCAGCGCCAAGGACCCCCCCGGCCAGCTCACTGACACGGAGACCACGTGGATTGATGTCTTCCGCCGCAGCATTGAGCCCTTTGGGTGAGTCTGCCGCAGCATTGAACCGTTTGCGTGAGTCTGGCTGTTTGGGGGTGAGTGAGTGTGATCTGGAGTGGCTGTGCAGCAGTGGCAGCGCTGCATGCTGCTGCTGAGCGCGGAGGCCTACACCCCCTGGACCATCCCCTTCCGCAGCACCAAGGACCCCTCCGGCCAGCTCACTGACACCGAGACTACGTGGATTGACGTCTTCCGCAGGAGAATCGAACCCTTTGGGTGAGTCTGTGCGTTTTTTATGAAGTGGTTTCACATGTTTCCTGCCGGCCAAGGACCCCCCTGGCCAGCTCACTGGCACTGAAACTACGTGGATTGATGTCTTCCGCCGCAGCATTGAGCCCTTTGGGTGAGTCTGGCTACTTCCACGTTGGGGTTCACACGTTTGCTTCCGGCCAAGAAACCCCCCATGCCCTGGCCAGCTCACCGACACCACCACCACGTGGATTGACGTCTTCCGCCGCAGCATCGAGCCCTTCTGGTGAGTCTCTGTCCATCCAGCCTTTATGTGTGAGGGGGTCACACATTGCCTTAGAGGCGCCACTGGACCCACCTCACCATAGATAGCAGCTGCATCAAGCCCTTTGAAATATTGAGGCGTCTCAAGATTTGTGGATTTACTTCCTGTAGTTTGTTCCATTTTATGTGCGCAGGAAGCGAGCAGCCGGCGACGAGTCTGTGGAGAACGCTGCAGAGAAGGCGAAGGTCTTTGAAGAGAAGTGAGTCAGTTAGTCAGTCAGTCAGTCAGTCAACCAGCCAGTCAGCCAGCCAGTCAGTCAGCCAGCCAGCCAGCCAGTCAGTCAGTCAGTCAGCCAGCCATCCAGTCAGTCAGTCAGTCAGTCAACCAGCCAGTCAGTCAACCAGCCAGTCAGCCAGCCAGTCAGTCAGTCAGCCAGCCAGCCAGCCAGCCAGTCAGTCAGTCAGCCAGCCATCCAGTCAGTCAGTCAGTCAGTCAACCAGCCAGTCAGCCAGCCAGCCAGTCAGTCAGTCAGTCAGTCAGTCAGTCAGTCAGTCAGCCAGCCAGCCAGTCAGTCAGTCAGTCAGTCAGTCAGTCAGTCAGTCAGTCAGTCAGTCAGTCAGTCAGCCAGTCAGTCAGTCAGTCAGTCAGTCAGTCAGTCAGTCAGTCAGTCAGTCAGTCAGTCAGTCATTCAGTCAGTCAGTCAGTCAGTCAGTCATTCAGTCAGTCAGTCAGTCAGTCAGTCAGTCAGTCAGTCAGCCAACCAGCCAGCCAGCCAGCCAGCCAGCCAGCCAACCAGCCAGCCAGCCAGCCAGCCAGCCAGCCAGCCAGCCAGCCAGCCAGCCAGCCAGCCAGCCAGCCAGCCAGCCAGCCAGCCAGCCAGCCAGCCAGCCAGCCAGCCAGCCAGTCAGTCAGTCAGTCAGTCAGTCAGTCAGTCAGCCAGCCAGCCAGCCAGCCAGCCAGTCAGTCAGTCAGTCAGTCAGTCAGTCAGCCAGTCAGTGTCAGTCAGCCAGTCAGTCAGTCAGTCAGCCAGTGAGTCAGTCAGTCAATCGGTCATCAGTCGTTCATGTCTTCTGCCTACTTACCTCCAGCCACCTTCCCAATCCTGTTTTCTCCCTCGCACTCTTTTTGTTCTGCTTCCTTCTCCGTTTCTTGTGAAGCCAAAGTGTACTTGTCACTTGCTGTCCTCCTCCTCCTCCTCCTCCTCCTCCTCCTCCTCCTCCTCCTCCTCCTCCTCCTCCTCCTCCTCCTCCTCCTCCTCCTCCTCCTCCACCTCCTCTGATCCCCCCTTTGCTAATCCATCCGCAAAACGCGATCTTGTCCTCTCTCCCGTCATGTGTTCAGATACACAGCAATCCTCGATGATTTTGCCAAGGACCCTAGCAGCCACGGAGGCCCTCCCAACCCAGTAGTAAGCAAATTACGCAATCTGGCAATGGGTTGGATGAATACCTTGGCATTCTGCGTTGATGTGCCAAGCTCTTACACTTCTGAAGGCCCAATGACCTCCATAGTGGGTGCGATGTGCTTTTTTCTTTGGCGCCCCCGAATCAATATCTCTTTTTTTCTCTCTCTCTATTCTCTGCCGCCCGTTGCAGAATCTGTGCCGGCTGAGGGAAGTCTGCTTGACAGAGGCCGGTTTCAATGACATCTTCAAGAAGACCAAGGTACAAATGAGTGCAAAACGGTTCGACGCGGTTCGAAGTGGATTCACACATTGGATAGCCTGATTAGTGTATACGAAGGTTTTGGGTGACCAACCTCCCTCCATTCTCCATCCCTGTCTTGCCCACGCTGTCCTCCCTTGCCCCACTTTCTCAAACCCTGAGATTTTCTTAACCCTGAACTCTATTGAAGGATTCCAAACCCGAAACCCGAATCCCTAAACCCGAATCCCTAAACCTAGGCGGAGGAGAACGAGAAGGCGCTGGCGATGCTGCCGGCGACGCTGAAGAGAATCGACGCTGTGGAGGATCTTAAAGAGAGGATAGAGGTGCTGGTTAAGGGCGTGCTGGCAGGGAACATCTTCGACCTGGGCGCCAACAACGTGAGTGATTAACTCTGTAACACCTGTATTAGTGATGTGTAACATTTGAGTTGCTGCCCCCAACGGAGCGGATTGGACTGCTCTGCTCGTTGTGAAGGGCGTGCTGGTGGGGAACATCCGCGACCTCTTAGTCACTCTTAGTAGGCTTGCTTCGTTTCGAATCCAGCGAATCTCAACCGTGCTGGTGGAGAGCATCCGCGACCTCTTAGTCACTCTTAGTAGGCTTGCTTCGTTTCGAATCCAGCGAATCTCAACCGTGCTGGTGGGGAACATCCGCGACCTCTTAGTCACTCTTAGCAGGCTTGCTTCGTTTCGAATCCAGCGAATCTCAACCGTGCTGGTGGAGAGCATCCGCGACCTCTTAGTCACTCTTAGTAGGCTTGCTTCGTTTCGAATCCAGCGAATCTCAACCGTGCTGGTGGAGAACATCCGCGACCTGAGGGCCAACAACGTGAGTGTGACATGCTCTTGAGATGTCGCAATGCTGGGGTTTCAATCGAAAGGAGCTTTCAGCAGCTGTTTCTGTGCTGCTGTTAATCTGCTTCCCTGCTTCCCTTTCCCCCCATCCCCTTCTTCTCCCCCCTCCCTCACTCAACACCCCCACCCCCCCGGATTGCCTCTCCTTCGGTCCACAGCACTGGTGGAGGGCGAGGGGCTATCGTTATGAACAAGCTTTCATCCACAGCTGACCTTTGAGGCGTCTCAAAAGCCGTCTACTCCTTTGGTCCACAGCACTGGTGGAGGGCGAGGGGCTATCGTTATGAACAAGCTTTCATCCACAGCTGACCTTTGAGACGTCTCAAAAGCCGTCTACTCCTTTGGTCCACAGCACTGGTGGAGGGCGAGGGGCTATCGTTATGAACAAGCTTTCATCCACAGCTGACCTTTGAGACGTCTCAAAAGCCGTCTACTCCTTTGGTCCACAGCACTGGTGGAGGGCGAGGGGCTATCGTTATGAACAAGCTTTCATCCACAGCTGACCTTTGAGACGTCTCAAAAGCCGTCTACTCCTTTGGTCCACAGCACTGGTGGAGGGCGAGGGGCTATCGTTACGAACAAGCTTTCATCCACAGCTGTGTGTGTCTCACGTCACACGTGCTCTTCCATCTGCCCTCCCACCCACCCTATCTGTGCAGTCCGCAGCGCTGGTGGAGGGCGAGGGCCTGTCATTCGAGAAGAGCTTCGAGCAGCTGCTGCCACGCCCGTGGGTGTTTGACCACGTGGCCGAGTTCCAGAAGGCGTGGCTCGACCGCACGTGGAAGAAGGTATGTTTGCCTGGCTTGACTGTAAGTTGATATGAGTTAGTTTAGGTGCTTTGTGCTTTAATGCCGTGGGTACTCGACCACCTGGCTGAGTTCCCGAAGGCGTGGCTCGACCGCACATGGAAGAAAGTGAGTGTGTCTGACTAGTTGAAGGTAAAGAGACGATTTCAGTGAAGGCAAGTGGGGAGGGTGTGGGGCACCAACCAGGTGCACCTGAGTGGCTGAAGAGGAATGGTATGGGCCCCGTGGCTGAGCTCCATACGGAATGGGGTGGATTTTGAGAATTCTCAAAATCATTTTTTAGGAAAAAAAGCGCAACTTATTGAATGTTCGCTGGTGAGGGAGCTGGTGAAGCAATGAGTTCTGTTTTCGAACCTATTCCCCTGGCCCATCTCACTCCCCACAGGTGGTTGTCTTCTATGACAACTCCGGAGCAGACCTCGTACTGGAGCTGGTGAGGCAATGAAATCAGGTTCTCAACTCGTTCCTCTCACCCATCTCACTCCCTCCACTCCCTCAGGTGGTGGTATTCTGTGACAACTCCGGGGCAGACCTCGTGTTGGGGGTGCTGCCGCTGGTGAGGGAGTTGGTGAGGCAAGGCGCACAGGTGGTGGTGGCGGCTAACGACATGCCCTCCATCAATGACGTCACCTACAACGAGCTCCTGTCTCTTGTGCAAAAGGTGGGTCCTGCTTGCTTGTTTTGTGCAAAGGGTCAGCCTCTGGGTTGTGCGGTTACGGTACCATCCATATCCCGCTGGTGAGGGAGCTGGTGAGGGAGCTGGTGAGGCAAGGCGCACAGGTGGTGGTGGCCGCTAACGACATGCCCTCCATCAATAACGTCACCTACAACGAGCTCCTCTCCCTCGTGCAAAAGGTGTGTCTTCCTCCGGTCACGCAAGGTTTATTTCTTTGATGGTGGCAGTAAATTAAAGTCAGGCCCGAAACCATCAGTACATGTGCTGGCAGTGGGCATTGACAAGCTCGCTCTGTTACTCTCTCAACCTTCTGACTGTCTGTTGTCCGTTCAACCCGCTGACTTTCTGTCTGTCTCGCTGTGTCTGCATCCCTATTATCAGGTGCAAGTGACAGTAGAGGACGAGACTATAAGCGCAGGCATTGACAGTGGGCGTATCCTTATTGTCAACTCAGGCAGCGATGTTCCTGTGAGTCTTCCCCTTGTTCAGTTCAGACCCCTGATAAATTGCCTTTGCCTTCATGACTCCTCGTTGTTGTTCTTGTACCCAACTAATGTTCTTCAATAGACCCCTGCAGTATCCCTCCGGCTCTTGCCTTGTATGACGACTTCACTGATTCTTGTGATTCCTTCACGATTCATGTTAGGCAACCCCACCTCTCTTTCTCTCTCTTTCTCACCTTCCTTTCCTCCCATCCCTGAATTCCTCCTGCACAGGTTGCTGACCTGGCACACATCTCCCCTGAGCTGGCATTTGCTGCTGAAGACGCTGAGCTGGTCATTATGGAGGGCATGGTATGTGATGCATGCATGCATTTCGATGTCCGGATTTTCTCAAATTTGGATTTTTGTGTTGTGGAGTGATGTGAGTGTGAATCTGCAATTGTAGACCTCAAACCATGTCAGCAGTATATGCTTATCCACAAGGTATCCTTTCCTTTCTTGTACCCTTTATTCCCTTCCCCATCCCCTGTGCGGCAGGGTCGTGCCATAGAGACCAATCTGCATGCGCTCTTGACATGTGACAAGCTCAACATCGGCATGGTGGGTTTTTCAGTGCTTGTAATGGTGGTGGCATGGTTAGATCATAGGTGCTTGTAATTGTGGTGGCATGGTGAGATCTTGCTTGGAATGGTAACATGCATTGTGATGCACATGACATGTGACAAAACATCGGCATGGTGACGCGCAGGATGATGCTGGTAGCATGATATGTCTCCCCAATGCCAGACACACAATAACCCCCATCGCCGCACCCTCTTTCCCTTCACCTCACCTTAACTTGCCCTCTACTCATTCCTCTTTCCAACCAACCACTGTTGCCCATACGTTTCCTTCCCTTGCCCCTCTCTGTTTCCTACCCATTGTCTTCCCCAGGTGAAGCACAAGGAGGTGGCTGATTTTCTGGGTGGTCGCATCTACGACTGTGTGGTCAAATACACCCCGGGAGACTATGTCCCCACCCCCTCCCGAGCTCCCAAGGTCCCAACGCACCTGTCATCTGCATGAGACTCGCATGGTTTTTTCCTTTACGGAAACTCATTCGGTGTGCCGTGCCCTCTAAAGTCCCATCATGCGCGTATGGTGCCAGGACGCAAAACGCGCCACTGTTTACCTATTGAATGAGTCTCTGTCTGTATTGATGAATACGTCAGTGCCAAATCTATGGGCCCTCTCTTAGAAAACAGATTCAGTCCAAGAACCAGCATCCTGCATTCTTGCATAAGATGGTTGTTGTAGCCACTAGGTATGGTACGGTATGTGCCACAGTATCTAGTTATATCATTGGTTTGTTTGACAGATACATTGTCTCATCCACCACAAGGCAGGGCAACTACAATAGTCTATCCACAGAATGTTTCCCTTCCTTGCCTTCTACGCAATGTATGAAACTCAACTGTGCATTTGGTCAAGTATTCACATCACCAGGTGTAAGTGGATCAGATTGTCACACAGAAGGGAACACCTCTCCACACAATGCTTAGCACCACCTGTGAAAAGCTTATAAAGGTTACACATGCTTGGCATTGGTAAGAGGGCATACATAGTCACCACGCTCTAAGACAGCAGCTGCACCCATGCCGGTTCCTGGAAAGTTCAGAAACAGTTCAATACAGGTGGCAGAGCAGGCTGAGAATCAAGACGTGGAAAGCAAGCTGGAAGTGAAAACTGGCACCATGCACAACTGAAATTGCACTACAACAAAATACAAGACTGGAAGCAGACTGAAACTAGCACTCACCAATGCACATCGAAACGACACCAAATCGACAATCGACTCCTCGTCGCTTCATCTCGTGCAGCAGTGTTGCCACACACCGTGCCCCTGTTGTAGGAACAAACCATTATCGACGCAGCGAATGTAAGAAACGTCCTAAAGGCAGAACCAAACGATACACAGACGTGCATGGCAGTGACTTACCTGTGGCTCCAAGGGGATGACCAATAGCAAGCGCTCCACCGTTCACATTGATCTTCTCCTCATCAAGCTCGAGCTTGCGAGCACAATAGGTGAACTGGGAAGCGAATGCCTGGAAAATAACAAAAAACTTGAACATCACAACATCCGTTTCCAAAGCCAAAAGAAGTTCAAGGAGCTGAGCCAGTCAAAGCTGCCAGTGGTATAAGTGCATGCAATGTGCAGCAGGGCCTACCTCGTTGATCTCAAACAGGTCAATGTCGTCAACCTCCAATCCGGCTGCACTGACAGCAGCAGGGATGGCGACTGCAGGTCCGATCCCCATAACAGCAGGATCAACCCCAACAACAGAGAAACTCCTGTAGACGATAGTCAAAGCAGACTCAGTAAAGTCAAAATCTGAGAGAAGCTACATTAAACAGTATCATAACAGTGTAGTGCTTGGAATTGTACACACCTGAAAACTCCAAGGATGGGAATTCCTCGTCGAAGTGCCTCTCCACGGGTCATCAGCAGCACGGCTCCAGCACCGTCACTCACTTGGCTGGAATTTCCAGCCGTAGTTGTTCCACCCTTCTTGAAAACAGGCTTTAGCTTAGCAAGGTCAGCCATCGTAGCTCCGGGACGAATGCCATCATCAACGCTGACAACAATTGGCTTCTCATCACCGGTCTTCGGATCAACAATCTGCAAGGCAAAAATGGAGTGCATAAGCCACCGCCTGAAGTCTGACCAATGCACACATTGCTTTTGTAACTTGGTAATCCAACACTTACCTTGGTGCTGATGGGGACGATCTCATCACGAAACCTTCCAGCAGCTGTTGCTGCTGCAGCCTTCTTGTGAGACTTCACCTGTGAAAACAAGCGTTGAAAACATTAGCTGCTGCTCGATTACCGTTGACTGACACGCTGCAAAGCATATTGAACACCTCACTCACCGCAACATCGTCTTGCTCCTTCCGATTGACTCCAAATCTTTCAGCAACATTCTCTGATGTGATCCCCATAGGCAAAAGGCAGTCCTGGGCCTTCTGGTTCATCTCAACCTGCAATCAACATCTTTGGAGTGAGCCTAAGGATGTTCTGTTCAAGTGGAATAAGCAGACTGCATATTGCTTATCCCTTACCTTTGGGTTGACGCTTCCTTCCCAGGCCATGGGGTTGACCGTCATAGATTCCAGCCCAGCACCAATGCCTGCTCACAAGTTCGTTTTTCAGCGTTACATGTTTGTATTCCTCTCAACGACCAAGACCCAGAAGATTGGAACGTCCTGTTGCAACTTCGAATCACTTACCGATCTTGTAATATCCAGCCTTGATAGACGCAGCCACGTCAGCAACCGCTTGAAGTCCAGACGAACATTGCCTGTTCACCGTCCTCACCGGAACGGTATCTGCACGGGGGCAAGATCATCATCTCATTGCAGTTCAACCAGAAACAGCATATATCGCCCAACCAAAACAAACAGCTAAAAAAATTCCTCACCAGGAAAGCCAGCGAAAAGAGCAGCCATCCGGCATTCGCTCGCTCTTTGGCTCCCAGGAGCAAGAACAGTTCCCACAATAATGTCACCAACTTCCTCTGGCCTCACTCCAGCCTCGTCGACAACAGCCTGGTTAGCATGAAAGCCACGAATGTTAGGTTTGTAGAACGAATTCGAAATGTGCTGAATAAGTTTTCATTGTCGTACAAGTTTTAATCTGATAAATAGTGAAAGCACTGACCCTGAGCACCGGCGCCAGGATGTCATCCGGAAGGGTGTCCTTAAAGGCGCCACGTTTGGCCTTACAAAGGGCCGAGCGACGCGCACTGTACAGCAGCAAAGAACCTTCAGTCAGAACGGTCACAAACCAGAAAATATCATAGGTCGATGGAATAAGAAGCAAAAGAGGTGAAACCCTGAAAGACTTTGGGACTTTCCTGAATCTTACCTGACAATTACGACATCGTCATCATAGCCAGCCGTGCGAGCATACCCCGCGCTGTCCCCAGCAAGGCACGGTGACGCAACCTGCGCAACGATTCTTCCGCTAGGTCAGAATCGGTTTCCAACTAACGTCACTACGGCAAGTGTATCGAACTAAAACGTGTATAGCATACCAGATCGGTCCGCTGGAAAACCGGACCAGGACTCAAGTGGTCGGCGATAACCTGCTGCCTCAGGCGTGCCTTCTCCATGATCGGGAAAAATCTTACAGTGAGAGAAAAAGCAGCTGACGGCTTATCGACGACTAAGAATGAAAAACGCGAATGGCGGACAACTAGACTTGGGATAGATGTGCTTTATGGAATCACCAAGGCTCTGAATTCTCCAATGAAACCTCCGGATTGGAGCCAGAACCACCAACCAGATCATGAAAGTGTTCCACAAGAATTCCTTGTAACTGTCCTGTAACAGATGCACATCCCAGAAATCGTCGAGGAAACTCGTTGGGCCGGAGGTGGGGTCAGCCAGGCATCAAGGAATGAGGACACTGCAACACGTGGATCTGGGACAGTGCCAGAGCGATGTGACGTCACCTTTAGTTCTGGGAAAGCGCAATCCATGTCACTCGTGCCCAGGCTGAATCAGCAAATAGCCCAAACAAGCCCCAAGCCAAAGCTAGCGTGGACCTAATAGCCTATTCGTGGTGTATAAATCTCAAATGCATGTTGTTAGGCCCGACGGCCTAAGTCCGCTAAAGAATTAGCGGGGTCGACTAAATCGAGGATGAAACGCGGCGGAAGACTTTGGCGAAAGAACTATTGGCGAAATAGGCGAAGAAGTTACTGAGTAATTGAAGAAGAGTTGAATGAGAATTGATTGATAATGGCAAGTACAAGCAAGGTTTATATAGCATGCAAGAAACAAGGTTGGAAAGTGGAATGTGGGACCAAGAATTGGAGTGCAAGAAAAGTAGAGTGCCACGTGGCACTAGAGAATCTGAGAAGATAAGGATAATGGTGACTAGGAATGTACTGTTCGGAATGAACAGTAAACACCCCTCCAACACTACCCCCCGCCCAAGGAGGCGACGTCCGCGGCGCCTGCAGACTGAAGGTACGCTTGGAGGCAAGCGTTGTCAGGAGACAGCGAGGACGAAGGAACCCAGCTGTCGTCTGCTGCGTCGTAACCACGCCAACGAACTAAGAAGTCGATGAAAGTGACACCCCCTTGGAGACGGCGACGGTGCCTGAGGATGCGCTGGATCTGGTAGTCGGGCTCGTCGGTGTCAACAGCTACCGGCAGTGGAGTGCGATCACGGCCCGAGAAGGTGGCATTGGGATCGGTGTATGGGCGAAGGAGAGACACGTGGAATGACGGGTGCATGCGGAAATGTGCGGGAAGGCGAAGGCGGTATGCGACTGGACCTAGTGCGCGCTCAATGACGAATGGACCAATGAAACGTGGACGAAGCTTGCTGTCCTGTGGCAGTCGGAGGTTGCGGCTATCCAAGAGAACACGGTCGCCGACTGCGAACGACACCTCACGACGACTGCGGTTGGTGGTGCGTGCCATGCGTGCATTTGCGAGCTCAAGGTGCTTCCTCACGTGATCATGAATGAAGGTGAGATGCTGGTGGAAGTTGTCCGCACGAGGGACTGTGGGTGTGAGATCGACACGAGTGGGGACATTGGGGTGCTGACCGTAAAGTGCAAAGAGCGGTGACATGCCTGTGGCGGAGTGGTGCGTGTTGTTGTAGGCGAACTCTGCCATGCTCAGCTTCTTGTCCCATGCGGCTGCGTCGAGCATCGTGATGCTGCGAAGGATCTGCTCCAAGGTCTGGTTCACACGCTCGGTCTGTCCGTCTGTCTCTGGGTGGTACGCAGACGACATGGCTAAGCGAGTCCCAAACAGTGCGAAAAGCTGCTTCCAGAACTTCGAAGTGAAACGAGGGTCGCGGTCTGAGATGATGGAATCTGGAACCCCGTGCAGTCGGACTACGTTATCTACGAATAGCGTCGCGGCTTCCTCTGCTGTGACCTTGCCGTGCGTGGGGATGAAATGCGCTGCTCGAGAAAACTTATCCACTACTACGAAGATGGCGTCGTGACCCCTAACTGTGCGTGGTAAAGCCATGATGAAGTCCATGGTAACTACCTGCCAAGGGCGGTCGGGCGGTGGAATCGGCTGCAAGAGTCCTGCTTTGCGCTGGCGAGAGGACTTCGTACGCTGACACGTGTCGCACGAGCGAATGTAATCCTCTACGTCTGCTGCAAGCCCGGGCCAGTAGTACGTGCGACTAAGCGTCTTAGCCGTCTTATCTGCTCCGAAGTGCCCTGCACTAACTACGTCGTGCGCCTCTGAGAGAAGGAGCTGTCGAAGAGGGCGGTAGGCTGGAACCCAAATCCGTGTGGTACCCTTCCGTATGTAGACACTACCCTGCACCTCTGCTCCTGCAGGCGGCTGCGGTGTGAAGTCGGGATCTACTGTGTAACCGTGCTCGAAGAGTGCTGTGAGAAGTGGGTGGCCAGCAGTGACTGTGAGACTGGCGAGCTGACAACTAGGGCGAGTGAGCGGATCTGCTGGGTTGCGCACGCCTGGCTTGTACTCTATCCTGTAGTGAAAGCTCCCTTCCATGAACTCCATCCACCTAGCCTGGCGACGACTCAGCTGCGGCTGCGACTTGAGGAAACGAAGCGAACAGTGGTCCGTGCGTATAACACTATCTGCCCCCTCTAGGTAGCACCTCCACACCTTATACGCATGGATGATCGCGAGCGCCTCCTTGTCGTGTATGGGATAGTTCAACTCCGCTCCCCTAAGCTTACGCGACTCGTACGCGATCGGCTGCAACCCGCGTCCCTGGTCCTGAAGAAGCACTGCTCCTATGGCCTGATCGGAAGCGTCGGTCACTACAACGTATTGGCGAGTGGGATCAGGGTACGAGAGTGTCGGTGAAGACGTGAGCTGACAAAATTAGAAGGAAGAAAGAGGGTTGAACTAGCAGAAATGGGGATACAAATAGCAAACCCTAGAAGGGTTGTACTCGCTATAGAGCACCCCACTACAGGCTAGAACATAAGAATAATATTCTGACACACCCCCATAGCCAAAGTGGGGTGTAATCAGCAGAGCAGGCAAAGTAGTACAAGCTTAGGGTGGATCACAATGTCACCACACATTCTGAGCACAAGTTCAAGAAGAGATAGTTTAGAGTTCACAATTATGAGCAGAGCTAGTGGTAGTCACAACGGGCAAGTGAGGAGGAGGAGAGAGAGTGAGGGGAGAGGAGATAGGAGGCGACGGCTGAAGCTGCAGGCACACGGGCAACAGGAGGCACACTGCCACAGCGGCTACCGGACAGCGCCCGGACTACAGGAGTAACAGGCCCCGCGGCTCAAATAGCGGCGGACGGGCAACGGACCCACGGGCGGCTGGCACAGCTGGCTACGACTGGGCTACCGGGACAGCGCCCCGGACTACAGGTGCTGCTGACGACAGACTGGCAACCTCCGCTCATCCTCCCGCACACAGTCCCACCCCCCCTGATACACACCCACTGCTACACCGCTAGCTCTACTCCCACGCACCCCCCTTAAACCCTAAACCCCAGTCTCCCACACAACCACCCCCCTCAGCGACAGCTGCAGCAGTGGGAGACGAAGGAGGAGGAGGAGCAAAGGGAGGAAGGCACACCGAGCACCCCCATACCCGCCACCAAGCGGCCCCCTCAGGTCGCCTCGACGGACGACGGGAAATGGCAGGGGGAGGGGGGGGGGGGGGGGGGGGGGAGGCGGTGTGGTGAAAGGGGCCCACCACGGGCCTGGTTGGAGGGCGGGGCCGCGACAAGGGGCGGGGCCGCGACGAGGGGCGGGGCCGCGACGAGGGGCGGGGCCGCGACGGTCGGGCAGGGCCGCTTCGAGGGGCGGGGCCGCGACACAGGGCGGGGCCGCGACGTAGGGCGGGGCCGCGACGGTCGGGGCGGGGCCGCGACGTAGGGCAGGGCCGCTTCGAGGGGCGGGGCCGCGACACAGGGCAGGGCCGCGACGTAGGGCGGGGCCGCGACGGTCGGGGCGGGGCCGCGACGTAGGGCAGGGCCGCTTCGAGGGGCGGGGCCGCGACGCAGGGCGGGGCCGCGACGTAGGGCGGGGCCGCGACGTAGGGCGGACGCCCGCGAAGGTAGGGCAGACGCCCGCCGCGCGCCTCGGGGCGCACAGCGGGCAAAGAACCGCCGCGCGCCCCGGGGCGCACGGCGGGCAGAAAACCGCCGCGCGCCTCGGGGCGCACGGCGGGAAGGAAAACCGCCGCGCGCCTCGGGGCGCACGGCGGGAAGGAAAGGTAGCAGCGGAAGCGAGGTGGAAACCCACCCACAGGATCGATCCAAGGGGATCGACCTGCTCTGATAGCATGACAAAATTAGAAGGAAGAAAGAGGGTTGAACTAGCAGAAATGGGGATACAAATAGCAAACCCTAGAAGGGTTGTACTCGCTATAGAGCACCCCACTACAGGCTAGAACATAAGAATAATATTCTGACATGAGCGACTGCTTCATCTGCTCGAACGCCTGCTGCTGCGCTGGACCCCAAACGTACTCTACGCCCTTCCGAAGTAGGTCGGTGAGTGGACTAGCGATCGATGCGTAACCCTGAACGAAACGACGGTAGTAGTTCGCGAAACCGAGGAAGCTCTGCAACTCCTTGACTGAGGTCGGTGCTACCCAATCCTGTACTGCTGCGATCTTCTTCGGGTCAGTCCTAATGCCACTAGCGGATACGACGTGTCCTAGGAACTCGACCTCTGGAAGGAAGAACTCGCACTTCGACTGCTTAGCGTATAACTGCTCCCTCCGTAAGACCTCGAAGACCTTCTGCAAGTGCTGCACGTGCTCATCTTTCGTCTTAGAGAACACTAGGATGTCGTCTAGGTAAACGACAACGAACGACCCTAGGAACTCGGAGAGGACTGTGTTCATGAGCGTCTGAAACGTCGCTGGGGCGTTGGTCAATCCGAACGGTAGAACCCTAAACTCGTACAGCCCCTGCTTCGTACGAAACGCCGTCTTGTGCTGGTCCTCTGGAACTACTCGAATCTGGTGGTAACCCGAACGAAGGTCGATCTTTGAGAAGACTCTAGCGCCCTGCACTGCATCGAGAAGATCCTCTACTCTCGGCACCGGGAATCTATTCTTGACGGTGGCGGCGTTCAGTGCGCGGTAATCTATGCACATCCGTAACCCTCCGTCTTTCTTGGGTGCGAAAAGTATCGGTGCGGCCCAAGGCGATCTAGATGGCTGTATGAAACCCTGTGCGAGAAAGTGCCTAACTTGCTGCGTCATCTCCTCTGTCTCCGCTGGACTCAACCTCCACTGCGGCTTCGCTACTGGCCTGCTTCCCGGCTCCAACTCTATTCGATGGTCTACTGCTCGGCTGGGAGGCAACCCTGGGGGCAACTCGTCGGGGAAGACGTCTGCGAACTCTGCTAACAGTGCACTCACCTCAGCAGGAAGAGTCGCCTTCTCACTAACTGCTGCACTCCCTCCTTTCCCCTCCTCAGCTTCCACCTCCTCAAGAAAAACCGCGAAGATCCGTGCCGCACGCTTCACTAACTGTCGCACACGAACAACATTAATGATAGCTGTGGATGATGTGGCCCCATCGCTCCACTGTGGCAGCTCCCGGAACTCCCCGTCTACCTTGACGCTGCAGCTTCCCTGAGCCCAATCGAACTGAGTACTAACCGTCCGTAGCCAATCTCTCCCGAAGATAAAATCGTATCCGTCCAGCGTCGCAGAGTCGAAATCACGCCTGACTGTGATCTGTCCTAGCACTACGCGCAACTTGCGGATGATCGGTCCTATGTGAAGTGGCGTCCCATCTACCATGCGAGCGTCCTTGAAGTTGACTGCTGAATCTGCTTCGATATGGAGACGAGAAACTAACGATGAAGAGACGAACGAGTGGCTAGCTCCGCTATCTACGAGAATCTTAACAGGAACTCCGCGAAGCTTCCCTAGAAGCACGACTGGACGATCAACAGTGTCTACCTCGTTCTCCGTAGATGACTGCTGCAAAGCCGTCTCCTCTACGTTGGTAGACGTGGCGGGTACGGGAACCTCCACACCAGCTAGCGACCCGCAATCTACTGGCGGTTTCCGTTTCCCTGCTGCCGCTCCTTAAGCTGTGGGCAGTCTCGCTTCATGTGTCCCGGCTTTTTGCAGTAGTGACAGTTCCCCCTAAATCCCATTTTCTGTGAGCCGTCACTGTTAACTGCACCAATCTCCATGGGCGATGGTCCGTCCCTCGATCGAGCGTCGTTGATCGGTCTGTTGTATCCCCTATCGCGATCGTCACGACCCCGTCGGCTTCGTACTGCGTCGACGCGTTCTGCTGCTGCGACTACTGACTCGAAGGTGGACAACCCGTGAATCGCAATGACTTCCGCTATGTCCGGCCTCAACCCCTCGAGGTAGCGATCGCGCATCTCTGCTTCCGTGATATCGTCTATCTCGTTGCAGATGCTCAAGAACCGTCGTGTGTACTCCTGGACGTTTCCTATCTGTCGGAAATGACGCAGACGCTTCCTAGCAGCTTCGGAGGCGTTCACCAAATCGAACCTACTTTTTAGCGCCGCTTCAAATCCTTCCCATGTGGTCGGAACCGTGGTAACACCCAAAGCTAAATTCCCTAAGCTCGAAGTTGCAGCTGCATGCCCCACGCCCTGTTGATGCCCGTCCGTCTGAGCCCTTCTTACAGCAGTTTGAGTGAGTTGGCGCCACCACTCCAAGGCCGGGCCCCTCAGCAGTGTAACAGCGTACTCGATCCGCTGCTGCGCGTCCGCCTCTTGCACCCCGCTCGCGGCGAAGTAGTTGTTCAGCATGAAGAGCCACGTCCGCACGTTCGCGTCGCGTTGACTTGGGTCGAACGACTCGGGTTTCTACGGCTTGAGTGCGCTTCGACGTTCCGGCAGCGCTTCCGCGCCAGTCGACGTGTTGGGCGCAAGAGTTGGTGTGGCATGACCATGGGGGTTAGAAGCCAATTCACGAAGCTGTTGCATTTCAGCTCGAACCTGTCGATTTTCCAGCGTCAACTCTTGAAGTTGGCGCATGAGTTCGGCAAGCGTGTTGCCCATGTCGTGGGGGACTGCGTGCATGGTTTCGTCCATGTTCGCTCAACGACTCCAAGTCTGCAAGTCGGCACCGCGGGACGATGACGTCGTAGTCTCGTCGTCGACGGTCGCTCGTTGGAAGTCGCTCCCCGCGAAGGCTCCTGATACCAAGTGTTAGGCCCGACGGCCTAAGTCCGCTAAAGAATTAGCGGGGTCGACTAAGTCGAGGATGAAACGCGGCGGAAGACTTTGGCGAAAGAACTATTGGCGAAATAGGCGAAGAAGTTACTGAGTAATTGAAGAAGAGTTGAATGAGAATTGATTGATAATGGCAAGTACAAGCAAGGTTTATATAGCATGCAAGAAACAAGGTTGGAAAGTGGAATGTGGGACCAAGAATTGGAGTGCAAGAAAAGTAGAGTGCCACGTGGCACTAGAGAATCTGAGAAGATAAGGATAATGGTGACTAGGAATGTACTGTTCGGAATGAACAGTAAACACCCCTCTAACACATGTTAACAAATTACACATCAAAATAGAAACTTCAAATGAAAATCTGAACAGATAATATTTTGAAGCCGCTTTAGTAGTAGATTGATGTATCCATGATTTTTTTAAGACGCTTTATTACAACAAAATTTCTCTTAATACAATGTTTCCGTGGTTTTTCTCCTATCTTCGTTGTCTTGAATCAACTCTTATATTGACACTCCAGAGATTTCTACGTTTTTATTGCTAATATATAAAATGTCTGTAATGTCTATGTTTCAGAATATTATAGTAGAAAATCATGTGGATCGTTCTATGTGGAAACGCCTCCCAGAAGCAAGTGTGCTTTTCACGATTTGCCTAAGGTCCAGAATACAGATCGATTTTGACACAATTTATTCAATAGCGAAGACAGATCGAGCTGGATAACACTGGTGAACAGATTTTGGATGATGAATGAAATAGGTGACGGTGTGATACTCTCGACTCTCGAGGACGGAAGCTTTTTTGTCTGAACCAGGATAACCCCTCGTGACTATATCATTTCGGTACTTCAGAACCTCTAGACGCAGAATTCCTCGGAGCTTGAGTGGATTCTTCACGCATTGCGGCACGATGGCCGTAGATCGAACGGAGGATTATCGCGACACGGTGAAATCTCTCGCTGTGCGGCTTGGGTACGACCAGGTGCGCGAAATGTGTTTATTAGCTCGTTCTTTTATTTCTCCTGCAACCACTTCCAACAACACCCCCCCCCCCCTGCCAACGCCCCCCCCCTCCCTTTCCTCCCCGTCTCCTCCTCTCCCTCCCGTCACCACTCTTCCTTGCTAACGTGCCTCTAGAGTCAAAACGTTCTTTCTCTTATTCCTTATCCTTCCTTCTCCGCTCACTCCTTTTCCTTCCCCCCACCCTTTCCCCCCCTCCCCTCTCCTCCTTCCCTTCCTCCACCCCTCTCCCCTTTCCCGCTCCTCCCGCTCTCTGTCTCCGCTGCCTGCAGGCTCGCCTGGCGCAGGTCTCATCTGCCATGATGCTCAAACCCACCTCAGGGGGCGGCGAAGCTTCCACGAAGGACGCCTTCGCCAGGCTGGCATGTGACGTGGTGTGTGCGCCTTGGCTGAAGGGGGAGAAGAAAAAAAGGGAGGTGACGTAGGGTTCAGTGAGAGTGGGGGAGAAAAGGGAGGGATAGGGGGGGAGAGGGGGGGGAAAGGAGGGCGTGTGTTGGAGAGGTTGCGGGTGGGTAAGAGACTGATGAAGGGAGGGAGGGAGAAGGGAATAATGGGAGGTGAAAGGGTGATTTGTCAAGGGACTTTGCTTCAAACCACGTGCTCGATGTGCTTCAAACCACGTGCTCGATGTGCTTCAAACCACGTGCTCGATGTGCTCCTTTTCTCTCGAATCAGCTGTGAGACTAGCATTCTCTGCTCTTCCTTGATTGATAAGCGAGGGAAAGAGAGTGCTCCAATGTTGCACCCGATCACAAGCCGAGACGCCTTTCTCCCCACCTCTCTCTCCCTCCACACATTCCCCCCTACTCCCACTTCTATCCCGCTTCCCCTCCTCCGCCCCCTTCCCTCGCCCTTCTCTTCCCCATCATTCCTACTTTGAATCAGCTATCAGACGAACGTGCGCTGCACTCTGCCTTGATGAGCGAGGGGCGGGAATACTGCAGTGCTGCTTCGGACCACGTGGTTGGGCATGGGGTGATGGAGAGACGGCGAGATGCGTTCGAAGCAAAGGTAGATGAATGAAGAGGGCGCAGGGAGGCAGGCAGGTGAAAGGTGACTGAGGGGAAGGGAAGAAATGGGAGTACTGCAGTGCTGCTGACCACGTGGTTGGGCATGGGGTGATGGAGAGACGGCGAGACGCGTTCGAAGCAAAGGTAGATGAATGAAGAGGGCGCAGGGAGGCGAGCAGGTGAAAGGTGACTGAGGGGAAGCAGTGGGAATACTGCAGTGTTGCTGCTGACCACGTGGTTGGGCATGCGGTGATGGAGAGACGGCGAGATGCGTTTGAGTCAAAGGTAGATGAGAGTAGGAGCAGGAAGAAGTGACAAGGGATGAATGTGAGGGATCAGGGAGGCGGGCAGATGAAAGGTGACTGAGGGGAAGCAGTGGGAACACTGCAGTGCTGCTTCGGACCACGTGGTTGGGCACGTGGTTGGGCACGTGGATGGTGGAGAGATGATGAGACGCGTTCAAATCGAAGCAAAGGTAGATAAAATGAAAGCAGGAGCAGGGAGGCAGACAAGGGAATGTGTCTGTGGTGAAAGTGAGGGACGGGAAGGAAATGAGATGAGGGGTAGAAATACTGCAGCGTGGCATAAAACGTATGAGCTTGTACCTCTGGTTGTATTCGCTTCCTTATCCCAATTCCCACCAAGTGGCAGAACGTTACTAGTTTTGCCTTCAACTAACCACAACGTACTCTCTGTCTCCTTGTGTTATGTGTGTGTGTGCAGGTGGGGGGCATGGTGAAGGAGTGTAAGGAGGGGATAGAGGCGCTGCGATGCAGATTGCCCCCACCAGGAGGGGCCATGGGGCGGAACGCACAGTTGACAGCGCATCAGCATGGCGTGGTGAGTGTTGCATTCATGTGGATTTTTATCCATCCATGCACACACACCATGCACATACATGCATGCCTCAGCAGGCCTCACGGGGAGGGACTATGGGGCAGAACGCTTAGTTGACAGCGCATCAGCATGGCATGGTGAGTATGTCTGGGTGTGTGCTGGCACATGCATGCAGCAAGCGTGTTAGACATATGCATGTGTGCAGTTCCGTGCAGTGCAGTGCAGCACTGCAGCAGCGGAAGCACCTCTCCAGCATGGTTGGCCATGGGGGAAAACGCTCAGTTGACATGACAACCCATCAGCATGGCATGGTGACTGCACGTCGTGGACCCATCAATGTAAGTTCCTAACGGAACACCTGCACCTGCTCTCCTTTTGAGTCGACTCAAAAGCACCTGCACCTGCTCTCCTCCTCCTTTGAGCACCTGCGAGCCGCCCGCCAGGCCCCACAAGGGGCACTCACTCCTCCACTGTGAGGCTCTCCTCCTATTATGCAGCTTTCCTCTCTGTCCCCGTCCACCCCCTCCGTGCCTCACACCCACCTTGCTCCCAGGTGCTCATCCTAACCGAGCATCTGCAGCTTCTCTCCTCCACCTTTGAGCGCCTGAGATCCACCCGGCTGCAGCGGATGCTGGCAGACAGCCAGCGACAGAGGCAAGGAGGGGGGCAGGGCGGGGGACAGGGCACATTAGGGAAGCAGGGGCGGATACAGGCTCTCAAGGGGGTACGGGAGAATGAAAGGGATGGAGGGGAGCAGGGCGGGGGGAAGGGGTGGCAGGAAGAGGGCGGCGAGCAGCAGGGGAGGGGGGGTGAGCACGATAGGGGGCGGGAGCAGGGGGGGCAAGAGCAGGAGAGGAGGGGTCAAGAGCAGATGATGCAGGATGCAGAGACGGTGGCGTTGCAGGAGGAGTTGAGGGGGCTGCTGAGCAGCACGGCGCAGACAGAGGCGAGGGTGATGGAGCTGGCTGCTCTGAACCACCTGTTTGCCGTGCACGTGCTGCAGCAGAGCGAGCAGGTTCATCAACTATATGCGGAGGTGAGGCCTTGCTTAGGGCTGGTAAACAGCAACGAGTTGCTTACTACTAAGTCTTTGTCTTCACCTTCTGTTCCTTTTGTGTTGACTATCTTGTCCCCTGTTACTCCGTTGTCAAGCAGGGCGACAAGGAGCTGAGGAAAGCAGGAGCACATGGCAACAGCCATCCCTCCTTTCTCCACCATTGCACTCTCCTCATTCTTGGCTTTGCTCCGCTCTTTAGAATTCATAAAAGCTGCCCTGTTCCCCTTGTCCTGTCATCTAACAGGCAGTGGCAGCATCAGAGAGATTAGGCAAGGGCAACAAGGAGTCAAACAAGGCAACAGCACATGGCAGCAGCCATCGCACCTTCCTCATCTGCTTCTTTGCCCACCCCGTTTTGTCTTTTGAGTCGACTCAAAAGTCACCTCGTTACCATGGCACACAACAGCACATGGCAGCAGCCATCGCACCTTCCTCATCCTCTTCTTTGCCCCACCCCATTTTGTTGCTCTTGCTCTTTGAATCAACAGGCAGCGAACGGTAGCACCCATCGCACTCTCCTTTTTGAATAGACAGACAAGCCCAACAAGGAGCTCACGGAAGCAGCAGCAAAAGGGTAGCAGCCATCGCACCTTCCTCATCTGCTTCTTCTTTGTCCACCCATTTTGTTGTTTGCCCTCTCATCTACTGGTAACAGGCAGTGGCAGCATCGGAGAGAATAGACAAGGGGAACAAGGAACTGAAGAAAGCAGCATCACAGTGCACCTTCCTCATCCTCTTCTTCTTTGTCTTGCGGCTCTGTTCCTTGTCCTTTTATGTAACAGGCAGTGGCGGCATCGGAGAGAATAGACAAGGGCAACAAGGAGTTGAAGAAAGCAGCGTCCCACGGCAGCAGCCAGCGCACCTTCCTCATCCTCTTCTTCTTTGTGCTGCCGCTCTCACTGCTCTTCTACGATTGGTACGACCGCCGGCAACGAATTGGATTCGGGCTTTGGTAGTGTAGAGGCGATTCCACAGGATTGTTGCCAGAGGGAAGGACACACGATAGCAGCAGCCAGCGCACCTTCCTCATCCTCTTCTCCTTTGTGCTGCCGCTCTCACTACTCTTCTACGATTGGTACGATCGGCGCCAACGGTCTGGATTCGGGCTTTGGTAGTGTGGCATTGAATTCTGTGATGTGAAAACCTGTGGATTGTAGAACTGCATTGGTGATTTCTGTAGTAGGGGTATGAAATTATTGAGATACTGAAACACCTTACAAAGTGATCCACTACCTCACACCCCTGGTAGAGTCTGTATTGGGATGTAACAGCTCTCTTCTTCTTTACCTGTTCAGCAAAAGCATGGAGGGAAGACACATGCACAAGCCCTGGAAAGCTTCTACACCGTTTATATACAGAAATAGTGGCCATTTTTGCACATGCACACTACTATCCTTATGGCTAGGCGTCAACTAGTGTCGTCGTCAACTAGTGTCGTTGTCAACTAGTGTCGTCGTCAACTAGTGCCGTCGTCAACCAGTGTCGTCTTGATGGCTTGAGGCATCTTACCCAGCATCATTTGCTTCACTGGGCATTTCCCTGTATACACACAGCACACACACACCCACACACACACACGCACGCCGCACACTCGCGCATGCGCACACATACACACCCAAGCACACGCACACACACACGCAAGCACAACATGCACAAACAAACACACAACAAATGACATCTGAATACATTTTTTTTCACCTAAGAGAAAAATGCTTCTACCAACACAGCATATTTGAGGTGCTCTCACCTGCTATCTCCAAAAGCCTCTCCTTTTGTTCTGTGGAAAGGGGCCCCTCCAAGCGTAACAACAATCGGAGGCCGTCCGGTAATCTCCCATCTGATACGTGGCACGAGACAGAATCAAGGGGCTTGGAGTGGTGCATGGTGCATGGTGCATGGTGCATGATGGATGGTGCATGGTGCATGGTGGATGGTGCATGGTGCATGGTGCATCAAAAGCGAGAAGGAAAGGGGGGAAGCAGCTCACGAGGCAAGGGGGTTGTTTGTTCCACTGTAATGGCGATGTGTTTTAGCGGCCACTGCTTTCTGTCTGCGTACTGTGGGAGAAGGAGGGGAAGGGAAACAGGGAGAGAGATGGAAAGTTGGTTCTATTGGAAAAGGGGGGAGGTGGAGGAAAGAAGGGTGGGAGGAAGGAAAGAGAAGGGACATATGAGTCTGACAGTGGTGGCAGTGCACCCGAGGCCTTCTTGTCCGCCACATCTTGGCGGTCTCACTTCTTGTCCGCGTGTGCAGGAAACGTGATCTGTCGCGAGAGTGGCAGCTAGGTGACGTTTGAGTCGACTCAAAAGTCACCTCGTGATCCTTCGCGAGAGTGGCAGCTTCTGTGCTAGTTTGAAGGGGCGCATGAAGGGTGGGAGGAAGGAAAGAGAAGGGACATATGAGTCTGACAGTGGTGGCAGTGCACCCGAGGCCTTCTTGTCCGCCACATCTTGGCGGTCTCACTTCTTGTCCGCGTGTGCAGGAAACGTGATCTGTCGCGAGAGTGGCAGCTAGGTGACGTTTGAGTCGACTCAAAAGTCACCTCGTGATCCTTCGCGAGAGTGGCAGCTTCTGTGCTAGTTTGAAGGGGCGCATGAAGGGTGGGAGGAAGGAAAGAGAAGGGACATATGAGTCCTGATAGTGGTGGCGGTGCACCCGGGGCAGGGAGCAGGGAACCACTTTCATGCGCACTGCCTCCACTGCCATGCGCACTGCCTCCACTGCCATGCGCACTGCCTCCACTGCCATGCGCACTGCCTCCACTGCCATGCGCACTGCCTCCACTGCCATGCGTACTGCCTCCACTGCCATGCGCACTGCCTCCACTGCCATGCGCACTGCCTGCACTGCCTCCACTGCCATGCGCACTGCCTCCACTGCCATGCGCACTGCCACTGTCAGACTGCTGGGCAGGTCGCAATTGAGGGGGGGGGTGGGGAGGGGGGAGCAGGAAGTCGCGAGAAGGGCAGGGGCGTACCAGCCTGACAGTGGTAGCAGTGCACATGGGGCGGGGCGGGAGCATACTACACCTACTAGGGCAGTCGAAAATGGAGAGGGGAGACGGTGTGGTGCGGGCAGGGTGCGGGGTGAGGGTAGGGTGAGGGCAGGCGCGTACCAGCCTGACAGTGGTGGCTGTGCACATGGCGACTGCTGCTGCTGCATAGTCCATGGGGCTGGTGGGGGGGACAGGGAGAGAGAAGGACGAGGAGAAATGGGCGTTTGTACATGCAGATATAGATAAACATATATTCTCTCGTCTGCACATGGCGAGTGCTGCTGCTGCATAGTCCATGGGGCTGGTGTGGGGGACAGGGAGAGGGAGAGGCCAGGGGGGCGAGAAATAGGCAAGAGGGTGCAGGGCAAGTGGGTGCATTATTCCCTACTCGTCCCCTTATTCACTCGCCCTCTTCCCCACTTGTCCCCTTCCTTACTCGTCCCAAACGTTCTCTCCCCCCTCTTGGTTTTTTGTTTTTGTTTTTGCTTCTCTTGTGTTTCCAGCTAACTAGTAAATAATGCTGCGCCCTATTCACGTGGGAGCAGTGCCGCCCACGCCATTGGTGGGAGCAAGCAAGGTCGCAGCAGAAGGACGGAGAATCCCCTTCCCACTGCTGCTGTCACATATCGTAAACTAACGTTTGAGTCGACTCAAGGTGTCTTCCCTAAGAGTTGCTGCCACGTATTGAAACCATGGTACCGAGTTTAAGAGTATGGTGCTGCCGCGTATGGTACATATTGAGACAAAACGTCCCTAAGAGTTGCTGCCACGTATTGAAACCATGGTACCGAGTTTACGAGTATGGTGCTGCCGCGTATGGTACATATTGAGACAATACGTCCCTAAGAGTTGCTGCCATGTATTGAAACCATGGTACCGAGTTTAAGAGTATGGTGCTGCCGCGTATGGTACATATTGAGACAATACGTCCCTAAGAGTTGCTGCCACGTATTGAAACCATGGTACCGAGTTTAAGAGTATGGTGCTGCCGCGTATGGTACATATTGAGACAATACGTCCCTAAGAGTTGCTGCCACGTATTGAAACCATGGAAACGAGTTTAAGAGTATGGTGCTGCCGCGTATGGTACATATTGAGACAATACGTCCCTAAGAGTTGCTGCCACGTATTGAAACCATGGTACCGAGTTTAAGAGTATGGTGCTGCCACGTATTGAAACCATGGTACCGAGTTTAAGAGTATGGTGCTGCCATGTATTGAAACCATGGTACCGAGTTTAAGAGTATGGTGCTGCCACGTATTGAAACCATGGTACCGAGTTTAAGAGTATGGTGCTGCCGCGTATGGTACATATTGAGACAATACGTCCCTAAGAGTTGCTGCCACGTATTGGAACCATGGAAACGAGTTTAAGAGTATGGTGCTGCCGCGTATGGTACATATTGAGACAATACGTCCCTAAGAGTTGCTGCCACGTATTGAAACCATGGTACCGAGTTTAAGAGTATGGTGCTGCCACGTATTGAAACCATGGTACCGAGTTTAAGAGTATGGTGCTGCCACGTATTGAAACCATGGTACCGAGTTTAAGAGTATGGTGCTGCCACGTATTGAAACCATGGTACCGAGTTTAAGAGTATGGTGCTGCCACGTATTGAAACCATGGTACCGAGTTGAAGAGTATGGTGCTGCCACGTATTGAAACCATGGTACCGAGTTTAAGAGTATGGTGCTGCCACGTATTGAAACCATGGTACCGAGTTTAAGAGTATGGTGCTGCCACGTATTGAAACCATGGTACCGAGTTTAAGAGTATGGTGCTGCCACGTATTGAAACCATGGTACCGAGTTTAAGAGTATGGTGCTGCCACGTATTGAAACCATGGTACCGAGCAAGGTCGCTGCCACGTATTGAAACCATGGTACCGAGCAAGGTCGCTGCCGCGTATTGAATGGGGTTGCTGAGCGCCACATTGGCTTGGTCGTGGACATCGCCCGCACGTCCATGATTCATGCCCGTGCGCCCCATTTTCTGTGGCCCTACGCGGTTCGCTACGCCGCTCACCAGCTGAACCTCCAGCCGCACGTCTTGCGGCCAGAGGTTTCACCGACCAGTCTTTGGACCGGGTCCCTAAGTGTTCGGTCAGCCTTTTGTGTCTGGGGCTGCCTTGCGCTTGTCCATGACACCTCTGCGGACAAGCTCTTGGCTCGCGCCGTCCCCTCTGTCTTCTTTGGTTTCCCGGTAGCCTCGGCCGTCTGGTCCTTTTACCACCCGCCCCTCCACCAGTTCCTAGACTACCGTGACGTCCGGTTCGACAAGTCAATGTCCTACTACACCCGGTACCCCTGTCGAAGTCTCCCTGTTCCCGCTCCCCTCCTTTTCCTCGCACCCTCTCTTCCCCCTGCTCACGTGGGAGCAGTGCCGCCCACGCCATTGGTGGGAGCAAGCAAGGTCGCTGCAGAAGGACGGAGAATCCCCTTCCCACTGCTGTCATCACATCATAAACTAACGTTTGAGTCGACTCAAGGTGTCTTCCCTAAGAGTTGCTGCCACGTATTGAAACCATGGTACCGAGCAAGGTCGCTGCAGAAGGATAACCCCCTTCCCACTGCTGCCGTCACACCGTACACTAACCCCAACACCCCCCCCCCCTCCCTTCCCTCTCCCCGTTCTCTCTTCTTCTCTCACGTGGGAGCAGTGCCGCCCACGCCATTGGTGGGAGCCAGATCGCTGCAGAACGAGAATCCGCCTTCCACTGCTGCCCTCACCCGATACTTGTGCTCTGGCTGCACAAACGAAGGGGGGTTTGAAAGAAACGTTCCAAAGAGGGAGGGGATGATTGCGGGTGGGAGGAACACAGTAGCCCCCTTCCACTGCTGCCCTCGCCCGATACTTATGCTCGGGCTGCATGAAGTCAGGGGGGTTTGGAAAGAGGGAGCCGGTTGTGGTGCGAGGGAGAAGGCAGGGGTAGTAGTGAGGCAAAATCCGCCCTCCACTGCTGCCCTCACCCGATACTTATGCTCTGGCTGCATGAAAGAAGGGGGGAGGGGGTGATGGTGGGAAGGACGGGGAAGGAGGGAATGGGTAAGGGTGGGGATACAGAAGCCTCCTTCCACTGCTGCCCTCACCCGGTACTTGTGCTCGGGCTGCATGAATTGAGGGGGGGAATGGGAGGGGAGGTGCGAGATTCACCTTCCACTGCTGCCCTCACCCGGTACTTATGCTCGGGCTGCATGAGGGAAGGGGGAGGGGATGATGGCGGGTGGGGAGGGGCAAGGGAGAGTGGTGATGCGAAAAACTCCTTCAACTGGTGCCCTCACCCAATACTTGTGCTCGGGCTGCATGAAGTAAGGGGGGAGGGGATGATGGTGGGGGGACGGGGGAATGGGGACTGGTGAGGACACAGAATCCCCCTTCTACTGTTGCTCTCATGCAGTAATTGTGGCTCCAACTGTATGAATTACTGGAGGAGGGGATGATGGTGGGTGGGGTGGGGCAGGGGGAGAAGTGATGCAAAAGTAGACTTCTTCTGCTGCTCTCACCCACCCAACACTTCACTTTAAGCTCCATATCTCATTGTGTCCCTAAAGTGATGTCAGGTTTGTTACTGCTGGTATGAAAACCCAGGGGTCACAGCTTTCAACCTTAGGAAGGATGGTTGGGGCTGAAAACGCGATTGGCCCGCGAACTGAGCCAGTGTCGAGATTGCCCCACGATGTTCGTGTAATTGTGCAGGTTCGTCAAAGTTACCAGAGTTGAAATGCGACAGGATATCTTATTATCCCTCCATTCCCCCATCCCCCCCTTCCCCCCCTCCCCCGCCTCCTCCCCCCACCTTTTCCTCTTCCACCGCAATATGGTGCAGATATCTGCGTGGTTCCGCCAACACGCCCCCCACCCCCCTGGGTTCCGCCCAAACGACCCCCACTCGGAGCTGCTCCGCCCATCCGCGGAATCCTGCCGCGCCTGTTACCCTTCCGCCGCTCCGCGTTCCGCCAGCGCCGCGCCTCAGGAGCCTCGCGGAGCCGCCGCTCGTGTCAGCGGCGCAGCGCGGTAGAACCGGCGGCACCAATAATCGCGCCGCGTCGGCTGGGGTAACAAAATCTAGCCTGTTTACCAAATCGGTAGGCAGCCGGCGGTAATTCTCTTGAGACGCCTCAGCCAATGATGTCACGCAATCGGTGAACGGACGTCGACGTTCCCGAGGCGCGTCAGCTGGAGAAACGAAATCGCCGGTACTTGTACGGGACTTGCCCGGCTGTAAAATCATATGAGAAAAAAATCGCACGTTTGCGTGAAATGCGCGCGGAAGGCGCTGACAGGATCGCGCTGTACCCGCCATGGCGGCTCCGACCATGGAATGAGATGCTCGAAACAGCCATAACGTTCCCTGAGGAAATCTTCGCTTCTCGAAACTGTTATCGCAGGCGCTGTTCACGGTTCAACAAAACGCACTAGGCACGTCGAGGCATGTTTCAAGAGTTCGAAAGACGGGACGAACTCCGGACCGTTCACGAGAGTTCGATTGTTGTTACTTGGCGATGTTAAGCGGTTGAGTACGATGGTGTGGTTTTTGGGTAGGATGCGTGAGGCTCACCGCTTTGAACCCACCACTTTGTCCGAACAGTATTGCACGGACTGGAAACGAGTCCTTCGCAACCCACCAGGGTTACTGCTGCGAATCGCAAATGCTGTACAGACAAACATGTAACCAGTTTGTGCCCACACGATATTTTTGTAACGGACTGGTTTGGACGGACCACCCGAATGAAACACGTCTTAACTCCAGACTCTGGTTCCTCCTACATGCGGAATCTTACTCAACCGCATGCTCACAGAAACGTACTCAACCGTCCTCAGAATTACTCGACCAGGGCATGAGGCACAAATAGATCGAGGGGGGTCCGACTGATCGAGGGGGGCCCGACTGCTCCCCCCCACGATGCGACTGCTCCGCCCCACGGTCCGACTGCTCCCCTCTACTACGGTCCGACAGCTCCCCCCTAAATATGGTCCGACTGCTCCCCGGGGGCACAAAAACTCGACGCAATGGGGATGGCACGCGCCTCGTGAAACTTCAACCTTTCTAAAAGTTTATGTTACCTTTTTGCATCGCGAATACTCTTTCTGAACCGCATTTAAACGAGCGAGTGCTACACACCATCAGGGGAAATGACAGAACGGACTGCCGCGCGCAAGCTAGCGGGTCCAGCTCCGACTTTGGTCACCTCCAACCATGTTCTCGCCTTCCTTCCCGCAACGTGTTTCGTCCGTCCGCCTTCCCTGATCGCTTGGGAAGACGACTCCTACCCTCATATTACACATGATGCCTGTTTGGGCCCCTCCCGGTTGCCTTGTGAAGGGGGCGTATAAGCTGTAACGAGGCATCTCGCTTAATTTCGTCAATTCGCAGCTGGCTAAAAAGGATTCGCATGTGCTTATATACAAGATCTGTTACCATATTTGACTTCAGTCTATTCTGCTTGACTTCGGTCTGTTCGTTACTATTGGTTGATAACCACGCGACGCGCTTGTAATGTAGGTGCATGAGGCTGGGGAAACAACCTCGGGTGCAGCGTATCCATCCGATGCAAGGCAAATTCGCGTGCATGGGGTGAGCATCAGCTGTATATAAATCGACGCTGCACATAATTTCCTGCACTGGACTTCCATTTTCACCTCTCTTGCTCCTCGACTCCGAATCTCCCACCACTCTATTCTTGGATTCGCCTTCACTAATGACTTCAACAGACGACTCCCATCATCCTTCACGCTCTGAATCTCACCGCCACTCTATTTCTGGCTCTCACCACCACCCTCTACTTTCCGCTACTAATCTCCTTATCACTCTAGTTTCCCCTCCGAATCTCCTTACCTCTCTACTTTCCTCTACGAATCTCCTTATTACCCTACTTTCCGTTACGAATTTCCTTACCACTCTACTTTCCGCTACGAATCTCCTTACCACTGCTTTTCGCCATGAATCTCCCCGCTCCATTGCTTCTGAAATGCCTGACACGCATTCCACGCCGCTCGATCCATCCTTGGGGCCGTCAATCTCACGATATCAGGATGTTGTGTCGGGCACCAAAAGGAAGTATAGAGGTGATAAGGAGTCATCGTCACGGAGTGACTGGGTGATTGGTGAAGACTTTGAAGAGCCTTACGTGATTTCGCAGCCTGTGGATTTCGACAAGGGTCTGATTCAGGAGATTGAAGTTCTCGTGGAAGCTCATGACCAAGGGTAAGTGACCTGTCACTGTTCGCATCAGAATCTGTAATTTTTTTCCATAAGAAATTTACGGTTGAAATTATTGCCTGTTTCTTTTTATTAATATTTTTCCCCCAATTTTCTTACCAGAGAAAAGTCGCCTTTAATGTGTGCACTCTACATGAGATAACTTTGGTATTGTACTCGTATTCTAATTTCCATATTTCTGACGTCAATTTTTATTAGCATTTTACCCTCCCCCTCGCACCTCCTTCCTCCCCATCCGCCCTTCCCCTCCTTGTTTTCGGATTGGCAGCTGGAGCGATTATCCCCAAGACCACAACACTTACAACAACTCGTGGACATATGCCGAGCTCGCCAAATTGATGCCCGACGGTTCGCTCTCCGCTTCCAGGGAGCTAATCTACTGCAACCTTCACGCAGTTGAACGTTGGCAACAGCATTCCAAAACGTGGAGTGCTGCTGATTCGCAATTTGTGCAGTCGCTTCAAGCAGGAGATAGGGTGGCAGTCGTGTTGCGGGCGCAATTCCCAGGGTGGACCCATTATGTGAAGTGGGGTAAGATAGACATCATGTACGATAGGAATGTTGTAGGCGGGCCCTCAGATACGTCTCAGGGCACCTGCAAAAAACAAAAAGTGCACTGATGTAAGGTATCAGTGCTAGCTGTTTTATTTTTACCCTGGATTTCCACTGTTGTGCTGGTGGTTGGCTTTACTGCGGCGACCATGGTGGAGATAATGGGTTCAAATCCCCTCCACGTTTTGAGCTAAACGCTCTAGTAAATATTTGATGTACAGTATAGTTAGGGTGTATTCCTGTCCTCCTATCAAGAAAACCTCCTATCAAGCTCTCATTGGAAAATTCCCTAAACCCAAAATCTCTCGCTACTTTTACCAGGCAAAAGGTACAATCTTGATAGGAGGTTTCTTGATAGGAGGCCGTAGGAATACGCCCTTATCAGTGTCAAACTATATCTGTGCTGGTTTCTCAGAATCCCAACCACTAGACCATTGGGATAAAAGGGCTTGGTAAGTAGCGGATCAGAGTGCGCCCATAACCCCCCAAGCAAACGCACCTGTAACCCCCCCTAGGATCGATCGGGGATCTCACAGTGTAGCTCTACTGACATGGTTCTATGTAGGTTATAGTGGGGTAGCCAATATGGGGTACAACCAAGGCCTCAGATGTCAGGAATTTTACCCTGAATTCCTGAAGTTTGACCCCCGTTTTTTATCATGACCCTGATGCATCTGTTACGAACAGTAATATTCGATATTACTAAGCACTCCTCACCGTAGCAAGGTACGCACAATATCGGGAACGAACGCAAGCGTCAGACGGTTGGAATTGAGTCAAAGAGTCGGACGGTTACAGCACATCTGAACCGTCGGAAGCAAACGGCATCGGACAACTACAGGCAGGATGGTTTTGGCGGGAACAGTTACGAAACTGTACGCGCCGAACGGTTGGGATGCATTTGAATAAGGGAATGTACCCCTTAGAGTACATGGCTAGTTAGGTCGTTTCGAATTCCCTTGTACTCATATTTATATCGCTTTATTTGCATGTTTTTATCAATCTCAAGCATCTTACATTCACTCTGCTATTGAGATCAAGGGCCCACCAACACTACCCACTGCGTGCGAACCTACCAAAGTAGATCCTGGGTTACGATCAACTTCTGATCGCAGCATGGTACGAGAGCGACTCTGGAATCCTTCGCACCGTCACTACCGAAAATTACGACATCTGAAAAGTGGCGACCGGCACACGATCACGTACGAGGATGGCCGGAGGATCTGGTGGACAGACTAATCTGACGGCTGAAGCACAACCCAACCCAGCTGGGACAAGCGGGAACACGACGACAATCGACTCCGAAGTTCTCGCACAACTTCTTCAGCGACTCACCAGCTT